GGTGGATTTAGATGCCTCTTCCCGCTCCCCCAGAAGATCGAAAGCCTTGAATAGTGTCTACCTCCTTTCCTGCCGTTCATGTGAATGAATCAAAGGTGAATTCTTGTACTTTAAGTAAAAAAAGAGAAGCCAGGCATTCTGACCTCCCACCTACAGGTGTAGCCGCACAAGTGGCCATCTGCCCGGTTGCTGCTGACACTATGGCTGAGGACTAAAACACATCCTGCACCCTTGCCTTCTGCGACTGTCCTCTCCCCTCGGCTGGGGAGTCTCTGCCCCCGTGGGCTGCAGCATTGAGGTGTCTTTCTGTACTCTCTGTCCTTCTGTACTCTCCACTGGTGACCTCACGCCCTGACCCTCAAATCCTGACTTCCTGGGTTTCAGAGCATCTGGCCAGCCCCCAGGCAACTTAAGCTCAACATCTGTTAGAGGCTGAATTGTGCCCCCACAAAATTCATGTGCTGAAATACCTCCCAGTGGTACTGTATTTGGAGATAGGATTTTTAAAAAAAATGTTTATTTTTGAGAGAGACAGAGTGCAAGTTGTGGAGGGACAGAGAGAAAGGGAGACACGGAATCCGAAGCTGGTTCCAGGGCTCCAAGCTGTCAGCACAAAGCCCGATGTGGGGTTCAAATCGCAAGATCCACAACCTGAGCCGAAGTCGGACACTTAACCAACTGAGCCACCCAGGTACCCCTGGAGATAGGACCTTTAGAGAGGTAATTAAGATAAAGGCGTAGGGGTGAGTCCTATATGACTGGTGTCCTTGTAAGAGAAAATTAGGACACAGACAGGCACAGAGGGAAGACCATGTGAAAACGCAGGGAGAGGACGGCCATCTATAAAGCAAGGAGAGGAGCTTCAGAAGAAACCAATCCTGCTGAGAACTTTGATCTCGGACTTCCAGCCTCCAGAATCCCGAGAAAATGCATTTCTTTTGTGGAAGCCCCGCCCCCAGTCTGTGGTACTTTGTATATGGCGGCCTTAGAAGACTAATTCAGTGTCGAAAGCGGAGTTCATCTCCAAATCTAAATGGAATAACACGGAAGGACAGCATCTCATGCGGTCCAAGGCAGAAATCCAGTCATCCACAACTCTCTCCACGTGCCTCATCAACTGATCACTAAGTACTGGGATTCTGACCCCTTCTCTTCCCCGTCTCACTGCTCTGGTTGAGGCATTATCCATCACCTGGATTACTACAAACGCTTCTCTCCCTCCACCGCGCTGTGCGTGGTAACCCGCCCCTCTCAGCACTAGTGACACTTTCGGGCGGGACAATTCTTTGTTGAGGGGAGGTCTGTCCTATGCTTTGTAGGATGTTGAGCAGCAGCCCTGCTGTCTACCCACGGCACGCCACAACCCCCCACCCCCAAACCCCCAGCTGGGACAGCCATAAAGGTCTTGCAACATCACCCCAGGTTGAGAACCACTGCTTTCAGGACAGCTTATCCCTGGGTGCTGGCCCTTGACAGCCACCGAAGATTTTATACAGGAGAAAATTCAAACTCCTTTGCTGCCCAGTGGGTTCCCTATAGCATCTAGAGTAATCCATGCTGTGTAGTGGGCGCTCAATACATATTCAAGAAAGAAAGGTAAAATCAAGGTCATTTACCGCCATCTTTTTTTCTAGCTTCCCCTTCTTCCGTCTCAAGTTTCAGCTACAAACTACTCAGTCCCTTGAATCTAATGTACCTGTGTTAACCCATAGCTTTTCCTCTCCCTGTCTCTGCCTTGAGCATCCCGCCCTCTCTCTATACCCCAACCCACCTTCAGTATCTGGCTCAAGTGCCAGTCCTTCCGGAAGCCTCCCCCTGGTGGAGCTGGGGCTTCCTGGCTCCTCTGGGCACGCCGTGCACATTTCTCACCCCAATTGGACGGCTTTGGGCAAGAGGGAAGACTTCGAGAGGCAGCGGATGGGTAAGCGGGAGGGCTAGTGCATTAACACCGAATGCCTACAAGAGGACTCGTGGCACGAACTCCAAAAGGCCAAGGAACTAGAAGCCCTGGGAAGGTCCGCAGGTGAGGATGCAGGAAAGAGGCAAGAGGAACGAGCCTGCTCAAAAATTCCCAGGATCCTGCCTTCCACCTTAAAACTGGCAGACACATCAAAAAGGAAACAAAGTTACACCCCAGAGCAGTTGAATCTAAAAGGCTCTGGTGCCCCGTGGTTCAGGCACAGTTCAGGGAATATGCAGGAACAGCATGGAAACCAGGCATTAGTGAGCAACAGCACCAGAGAGAGAGAGAGAAACCGCCAAGGCCTCCCTCCTGTCCCCTCTATACTTTGTTGAGGGCAGGTATTTTTTGTTAAACTTCTGATATGAGCTAGCTGCTTTGGAGGTGCTCTAAACTTCCCTGTCACTTAGGCTAATTCCTTTTAGCGTGGTTCTGGATCACCAGCAGGATAACCACCCTGCTCTCCAAGGACTCCACTTTCCACAGGGCTCCCGGGTTCTGGGTCAGTCACAAATGGAAGGTGGTGGTACCTGCCGGTGTAGACCCTGTGATGGCCAGGACTGGAGTCCATCTGCCGTGAGCTCCAGTAAAAATGCCTTCGAGAAAATCCCAGCTGAGTAAGGGGAATGCTTACTTTAGGCTCATGCTTTAAGTAGAGTACTTGTGAAGACTCTAAGTGCCTAGGGCACTTGGCTGGCTCAGTAGGTTGAGCATCTAACTCTTGATTTGGGCTCGGGTCCTGGTCAGTCTGTTTGTGGGTTTGAGCCCCATGTTGGGCTCCATGCTGACAGCACGGAGTCTGCTCGGGATTCTCTTTCTCTCTCTCTCTCTCTCTACCCTGCTCGCACGCCCTCTCAGGCTCTCAAAATAAATAAACATTAAAAAAAAAAAAAAAGACTCTTAAGTTCCTTTAAATTTCAGACCACAACTCCCCAGGCAAGAATTTCTCTACTTCTCCATCCTTAACCCACCAAGGACTCCCTAATTTGAAAGGAACCCAGGCAAGGCTCTCTCTGGGGACCCAGGGAAATGACTGTTTGGGGGTCGGTGGTGGGTGTTGGGGGAGGGGCATTGAATCCAGACACAGACTGAACAAAGATTCTTCCTGCATATTTTGAAAATCTACACAGAAAAGGGATATAGGAAGTGGGAAAAGAGAATGTGACTTACACTTATTCCAGTTTGGGGCCATGAGAGAAGGTAATGGCAGCTGCGGGTTTATCCAAATAAATTATCTAGTTTGTTCCGCCCACTTGTAACTGACTCACTTTATCTGGTCTCTCATCACAGGAGAGCCTCAGGGTTAGGTGTCCAACCCTCATTGGCCATTCTCCTTCCCAACGCCTGGGGCACTTGTAGGGGAGGAGAGGTCTCTCAACATGGTGGTTTGAACCAACAGAGGAAGAAGTGCTAGTATGTGTGAATTCATGTGTCCAGTGAGGGAAAAAGCAGGGAAAGAGTTAAAAATATCTGCTCTTGGTTTCTGGATGAAGATACCGGCAGAGCAGGCTGGATGTACTTGCTGAACACAGACAGATCCAGGTCCTTGAATGGGCACTGGCCAGGTTTTTCTAACCTCCTTCCCTTCCTTCTATACCTCAACTTCACCTCTAACCCAAGCCCTTAAGTCCTTGAGGACCTTCACAAACAGACCCATTGCCTGGGACTGGTAATTTGCATAGGTCCACAGCCCCTATTAAGTACATGCAGCTTCACTGTAGGGGTCAAAATCTTAGGGATCTGAGCACTGTGCTAATGAGTTGTAGGATACTAAACCGCTCCCAGGGATCAATCAAGCAAGGCTCATTGATGTTGGGGATTAGTTCCTAGGTTAACATTAATAAACTTGTCCCCTGAACCCAAAGCAAGGTCACTAAGTGACCCATTCAGGTAGCCCCAAGGCTCACTGGTGCCTAAAAAAAGCAGAGACGCATCTGAGTGAAATGCTAGAATTAAATGTTTGAAAATCAAAGCAGTTAGATTTAGGCCAAAAACACAGGTCCTACCCATCTGGGTGTGTGTGTGGGGGGTGGGGACTGGGCTGGGTTCTCCTCAACGGTCTTGCCAGGGGCAGAACCTGGCCCCATGGAGATATCCCTCCTCTTCAGAGAATACATTTCTGCCTTGCTGAGATTTGTTAAGCACATTAAAGAGAAACCTCCTTGAACCTGGGCCGTGCTAGAAGGGTTCATCCAGTTTACTGCTTAGCTCCTGCCAGGCCCTTCTCCTGACTGATGCACTGATCTCTAAGACTTTATGTGGCTAGATCCTAGAAAAATAAATAGTCCCTTTCTCAGCAGGGACCCCTATTGAAAATAAAAAATACAGTTTTTGCCTTAAAAGGCTCATAATCACTTCAAAAATTATTTCAGATGTTCACAGCCCCCGGCTAAAGACCCCTGTCTTTTGGAATGCTGGTTCTTGGACCCAGTGCCCTTATATGGCATCGGGGTAGAGCCCTAAATTGTAAGATGGCTGCTGCAGAATGGCCTGTGAATTCATGTGGATTCAACCTCTACTGCCCTCTGTTGGCCATTGAGGAGGGAGGAGGGGTTAAAACGCTGGATTCCTTCCTGGCATTGAGATCGAGACAGATGTTCTGCCCCAGAATGGCAGGGGGGACAGATAAACTTTCAGCAGCTTTCACCAGAACCTCTACAAGGCTTACCTTTCCTTGCGGTGGGCTGGGGATAAGGGGATACACAGGGAACCACCACATGAAGTCAAAGCACCACAGCACGGGTCCTGAGCCCCTGAACATTAGTCAGGTGGTCTGATTGCACGGGACAGCACCATCAATCCTCCATTAGGTATTCCCCTGGCTGCAATCCCTAGAGGCAGAGGCCACCCTGGCCCTTAATTTAGAAGGGCAACAAGGCAGTTGGGAAAGTTAGTGAAGGCCCACAGCTGGGCAGAACTCCACATCACAGAGCTCCACATCACTTGAGACATTGATTGTATTTGTAGGGGGTTAGGGAAACAGTGGAACGAGAGACACAAAACCGGGGAGAGAGCCCAGGTGTTGCAGGTGCCGCGACCCCTAGAACTCCTCACTCTCGTCCTCGCCGTCCATAGACTCTGTTCCCACTTCTTCATAATCCTTCTCCAGGGCAGCCAGGTCTTCTCGGGCCTCAGAGAACTCTCCTTCCTCCATGCCCTCGCCCACGTACCAGTGCACAAATGCCCGTTTGGCATACATCAGGTCAAACTTGTGGTCGAGGCGGGCCCAGGCCTCGGCGATGGCCGTGGTGTTGCTCAGCATGCAGACTGCCCGCTGCACCTTGGCCAGGTCTCCCCCGGGCACCACGGTGGGCGGCTGGTAGTTAATGCCAACCTAAGAAGAGACAGCAAGTAGTGTAAGCCCTGGGTTCTGTGTTCCCTGGAAGGGGTTCCCATAACTGGGAAAGGGGCCGGTCAACCGGCGTGTGACATTTGCCAGGCTGCAAGAAGCACAGGGACAACGGAACAAGTTAACTACCACCAGAAAACAAATCCAGAATGTGGGACTTTCAAGATGGTAAGACTAGTCCCTTCAAAGTCACCATCAAGAAAAAGGGTGGATGGGGGTGCCTGGATGGCGCAGTCGGTTAAGCGTCCGACTTCAGCCAGGTCACGATCTCGCGGTTCGTGAGTTCGAGCCCCGCGTCAGGCTCTGGGCTGATGGCTCAGAGCCTGGAGCCTGTTTCCGATTCTGTGTCTCCCTCTCTCTCTGCCCCTCCCCCGTTCATGCTCTGTCTCTGTCCCAAAAATAAAAAA